TATTAACACTCTATAGATAGACACGTTATGTGCAATGTAGCTAACCCTTCAGGATATTTTTCCTTTTTGGGTATTATTGTCACCCTTTTTCTCGTCAGGGATTAGCTTACAATCGATGAAATCGTCCATAACGCAATCAAGATTTATTTAATTAGAGGTTACGCCTAGAGAAGTTTCGTGTTTACAGTTTGCATGATACTCATAAATCTTCGATTTTTTTTTTTCAGGCAATATCAATATGCGATTTGACATTATTATACGATAAGAAAATTTAATTTCTTCGTAGAGGAGGTGTAAAACGCAATGGAGTTTTTATCTCGTGAAAGTAATACGCTATACTATTTGGAGAAGATGAAGTGTTAGAGAAGAAAACATAACGCTACGTTACGATAATTCTTAATGCTGACCGCGCAGACATCTCAAGGCCGCGCCATTTCTTTATCGGTTTATCATCTTCTATATAGTTGACCAAGCTACTCGCTACGCTGTGGGAATTGAGTAATTATCGCGTCATACCTCCGAGAGTTGTATTTATAGCGCCTCCAGGAAGCGCCTCCCCTCCGTCCACGTATATATGTATACTACCGATTAAAATGCGAGCCAATCTCGGACAAGCTGCTCGCTCCTTAAGTTATCATTTGATTATATCGTGATCATTCTTCTTACAACGCAACGAATCCTAAGTCTGCCCAGTTTTCTTATTCCACATTCCTGTCATACGTTAGTCCGAGAAATGGATCGCATATTTCGCATAACGAATTAAATCAGAGTTTGATCCGTCGTCCGTTTCTCGAATTTACATAAATTTCCATCGTACCGTCATTCACGTAAAAGTATAAACGCTCAAAATCCACTAGATCGTCGTGATTGCAATCGTGGTTTTCTACCACGAAACCACGAACTAGGGAGGCCAGGTAAGCAGCTTTTATGCGAACTAAATAGATCCTTAGTTGAGAGAGGCAACAGTCGACTAATACGTATTACGCATCAATAAATGTGAAAAACGCTTTAAGATACGATTTACTTTCGATCGATTACATGAATTTTCTAAATGATCACAGTGAAAATGTTTGATCGTGGCTATCCTTTTTTCTCTTCTTATATTACATTTTCTTTGATTTCAATCGCGACGAAAATGAACGTAATCTCATTAAATAGAAGTAGAGAAGCCACGATTTATTAAGAGAACCCTCGTAGAGCGGTATCACGCATGACGTAACTTATGGTTGGACAGCGATGCGAACGATATAGAGTACAAGAGAATAGCCGTATATGTATAACGAAGGTTATGGTGTTACCGGTGGATGCTGGAGTGGCAGGGTGTCCAGTGACTCCCATGTCGGCTTGTTATCCGGACCGCCCCATCGTTATCTGCAATTACCCCAAAACAGCCCCTAGTTTATAAATTATAGACCATCCCCGTCCCCTTCCCTATCCCCTCTCCATCTCTATATCTATTCCTATCTGTATCTTTTTTCCTCTTTCTTCATTCCGTTCGTATCTCGAACCCCCGCCAGGATCCCATCTGTCATCAAACGTAGCCAATTACGCACAATTATTTCGCCAACCATCCATTTTGTATTGTAATATCTCGCGTCATTGATATTATACACGTTGTTTCATTATCTCTCTCAGGGAATACTTTTATACGGAAGACATTCGAAGATTCGAGATTAAGAGGCGTAGGTAATCCTCGGTTACCGACGATCTTTTCGAAAGATTGGACTGTCTAGCCGGCCAACCAGTAGAGGGACACGGATGCACGCGAACGACAATGCGATCGGCCTGCTCCACCCATTGTCGTGGAGATTTCAATAGACATTGCGACAATGAATAACGCCGGGTTGCGTAAACCCTGGGGGATTCCGCGCTCCACGCGGCATCGGCCATAAGCCTGCTTGACTGTACTTTTCACGCCCTTTTCCACAGGCCACCACCTGAAATTATTATGTCGCACCATCCCCTCTCTCTTTTCCAAACACGCATCTGCTATTACACCTACCTACAATATGTATGTAATATATGTATGTAATATGTATGTAAATACATATCTATATCATATATGTGTATGTAAGTACTTATGTACAAATTATGTCCTATGTCTAACAGATATATATATATATATTTATGATTCGCCCGATCGTGAAGAGAGATATCTTACGCAATTTTCGATTACGATTCATTACAAAAGATACAGATTTTCGTTTTATCATATTTATTATATTAGCCAATGAGAAAATTTTCGAGATAAAAAATTCCAAATATTTCGACTCTTTATGATACATTTATGTATCATAAGAACGAATGATTATTCTATGTCCACAAAATATTATATTTTAGCATGAATTTATAAATCGATGTCGATTAAATATAATAGTTAGATTTAAAACAAAACGAAATATTTTTGATTCTTCGTATTAAATGGATTTAATGAAGATGTAAAAAAAATATTTTTTCTAGCGTCTTAATATAAATATTGTATTTAATATTGTTGAATAAATTAAATTTACTCGAGTTTATAAGAGAATATTATATAAAAGTAAAATTGTTAATACTAAATTTTTAATATTTCCAAAAATATGAAAAATATATACTAAAACTGTAAACTGTATAATAATTTTAAATTATTTTATATTAGATCAAATAGTATAAAGTTGGATATATGGATATAATATAATTATATTAACTTTCTACTTTTTTATTGTATTATATTATTTTATATTATCTTTTTTCCTTATTAGATTATATTCCTTGTTATATTAACTTGATATATACATTGATTATATAAATAAGAATTTTTCTAATGCGAATATATCCGTTATATCCATTCTAATTATTGTGTGTCATGATATATTCAAAAACAAAATAACTGCTTAAGGGATTAATCGATCACAAACAAACTTGTATAACAGCCTTTATTTTATCGATATGATACAATTTTATTCAACACGCTTTATCGATATAAGTACATATGTATTTCGTCTTTGTGAATTATATCTCGCGTCACGTTGATTCTTATCAGATTCAAAATTGCAGAAATAGGTCGAACTATATGATTCTCGTGATGTTATCCTCATTATTTATTTATCGATGTTCAATTCTCAAAGCTGTCGCGGCTTCGCACTTTTATCATCGTATTCTCATTATATCTCCCACCTCCCACAATCTCTTTTCTTTGTATAAATCTTTTTACTCTCGTTCGCATTTCACTTTTAGCTGGCATCACTTCGCTGTCATAACGCCTTGTAACGGGAAACATTGAAAGTCACATCGTGTTATCTTCGATCAATCGAGCTATAGCTATGAATAATATTTATAATAAGATTTACTTTAGCACAAAAATACATTTTTATAATTACATCTAAACCATAGTTTTGCATACCGACGGATCCTAAATTAGTTTATTGTAGTATCTTCAAAAAATTCAAACGTGAACATCACATCACTCTGTAAAGAGTATACTAGATTTGCTAGATTCACGTCTTCCGAATTATTCGAACCGCGCGAAAAAAGAAACACACATTCCTTTATTCTGCCGACGTAACATCGTGAATCAAGTGCGATCATGTCGATTTTGTTACGGAAGTGAGACATACGATATCCATAATATCATTCTTTCTTTCTCTCTCTTTCTCTCTTTTCCCCACTCTCTCTCTCTCGTTCTCCAAATATATTAAATATTGTGTATATATATGTGTGTGTGTATGTGTATGTATATGTATGTGTGTGTGTCATGGTTTGTGTACATAGCATATAAGTGTATACATATTCATAAATATACGCATATGTGCAATACATGTGTATTGTATAAATGTACACGTAGTTAAATATGTATACATATACGTATACATAATACACACGAAAGTTCAACTTTAATACACGTTTGGAAGACAGAGGTTCGTGTTACGCACATATCTCTAATTGTAAGTTTATTCCTGCCGAACACGCGTAAACATATACGCTCGCGTGCAGATTACGTTTAATACGTCATCATTCGTCAACCGACCGTTCGATTCGATATATTTTCTTCCTGTTGCCTCTTTAGATGTACGCTTTTCCTTTCGTATCTTCGAAACTTTTACAATAGTATATATAATCGAAGATCGAATAAGATTTTCTCTTATTTCCATTCCATTCCAAAGAGGCAATAAATCTTCGATTTTTTTGCTCGATCATCTCAGGGATAATAAGTTTACGCGTCAAGATATGTTCACGACAATGGACTATCCATTGACTAGAGAGTAACGAATTCGCAATATTTTAAAGGTATATATTTAAAAACACGACAC